GCAAGACTGCCTTTTATGTGTTGGAGACAGTCAGTCCTGATGCAGAATATAGATGCCAGAAAATGGATAGAATGAGAAAAAATATGGAGAGCTTGTTTTTGTAGTATTTAATTAATACTAATTAAACCTTAATTCTAGTTAGCTTATTGACTTAAGAAAGTAAATCCTGATCCTTGTGCCTTCATGGGCTCTTCCTCCCCATCCTGAAAATCTGCTCTTGAGCAGATCAGTCCAGGGGTTATTGCCCTCTGTTTCTACTTCTGTTCTGACATTGTCTACCGTAGTTGTTTCACAGTGTCCTTTAGGTTTGCAAGCTTAGAAATTCAATTTTAAGAAGAGCTTGCTTGATATCCATCTTACTTCTCTGGAAATCTATCTGGATTCCCATTCCTGCCTTACCAAAGGGCCATTTCCACTGTTTGTCTGCACTGTTCGGGGCCGATCAGATTAGCTGAACAGCAGCCTTACATGGAAGTTTGGGCACAGCCTTTGCTACCTCCCACTCATCGTCCCGATCGCCACACCTTTTCCACAGTTTCCTTTCACCTCAGCTCCCCACCCAGCTGGCTGGCCATCCACTCACCCTGGGACATATCTAGTCTGGGTTGGTGGAAACTAATCTGATCATTCCGTAACCGGTGCAGACCTCACTGGGTGTAAAGCATGAACAAAGCCATCTGGCTGTGCTGCTGCTTCACCGAGGACTTGCTTTCCTGGCACACTCGCCCCTCCTCCCCCGCCCCCCAGTGATGCCAAATACAGCTGATTTCCATCACAAATGGGATTCTTACCTTCAGAATAATCAAGTTACCCCAGCAAAGCCTCCTCTTGCTTCTCCCACTGTTGCAAGTAATCCAGCTGTCTCTAAGGATAAAAATGAAAACAAACATAAAAATAAATGACTCTCACATTGCGAAGAGTGGAGGAAATTGGCCATTTTTAATAGTCAAAATTTCAAACAGATGGTGAGATTATCATCTGTATTTTTATATTGACATTTACTTACCCATTGGAAGTGCAATTAAGCCATATTTTAAGTCCAAAGTGGCCTTCATCTGAAAATATTGTAGACATAGCTATAGGTAATGCTCTCCACCAATCCACACAGCTTAAGGACCCCACAATGCTAGCTCTCCCTTCCCTAGACCCACCTAACCAAGGGCCACACAGGATAGGAACCTTCTTTATGAACACTTTGGCCTCCTACTATCCCTTCCCCCGGTCTTGCCCCACTCGGGCCATTTTCCACAGAGCTGGCAAAGGGCTTTTCCTTTAATGCAGACCTGACCACGCAAGCCCCCTGCTTGAAATCAGCCTTTCAGTGGCTACATACGGGACTCAGATTTAAGCTAAAACGCTAGTATTAGCATGTTACCAAAGTCGTCCTTGATCTGACCTTACTCACTCCTCCCCCTGCCTCAGTCCTGGTCTCTTCTCCCCTGTTCACTCTGCACTTGAGTCACCCTAATGTATATGTCACCCCAATATGTGCCTCTCCCTCTCTTACCAGCTGTTTGCACTCACTGCCCACTCTGCCTAGAAAACCCACTGCCCTTCTTCAACTGGCTCATGCCTCCCTTTCCATCTTGACTTAGTTTAGTTGCAATGCAGTGATATTATTTTACCTTGCTAAAATATAGCCAGCGATAACCTCACCCGAAACACTTAGAATGCTCTGGCTTCACTGATTATTCTCATGTCTGCCCATGATTTTCAATCTTACTGAACATATTCCATTTTACACATTTTCCCATGTTGTTCAATGAAAACATATATTAAAATTCTGCAACAACACATGCTTCCGAAAGGACAACTCAAAAAGACAAACATTTTGCCTAAATTGCTGAAAGTAATCTAACATGAGTGAGTGACTCTTTTCCACATATGGTGGAATTTTCCACTAATATATCTACTGATCCTGGCTGTATCCACATGTACTCTTGTCACACACACTCTACCCCTGAAATAGCAACGCCCTAAACTTGATGTGTCTGTTTCTATTTTTTTTTTTACTCCATGATTGAATATGATAATATATGAACTGCTTCTTGTACAAAACTGAATTATAATCTCAATTTTAAAGGAGGAGGTAATGGTGGCAGAGGATATGCAGATATTATAGGATTCACCTGAGATTTCATAGTGTTTGTGGAACAAACAAAAATAGAAGTCCTAACTTTGGATCCCGCTTTCTTCAGTTCAGAGATTCCCCTGGTTTGGATAATAATAGAAGAAACAGAATTCATCCTTTTTCTGGATAAAATAGCCTTGAAGAAGGATGAATCCCTGAGCAGTGAACCCCAGACTGAGATGGCCAGCAGCCCTTCCAAAGTTCTGTCTGGAATTGGTGGGCGCTTTGCTTCCATTATACTTGCTAGGAGGACATCTTTGGGTTCATCCTACCTTTTAATTTTCTCTTTTCGTGGAATGTTGCTTGCCTGAAATAGCTTTTAAGTGACTTGCTTCATGGATATTTTCTGTAGAGCACTACTCATTTCCTTTGAGACTTGGATTTAGTTTTAGTAAATGGATTGGATTTTATTTTTCTTTTAATAAGAGCTCTTGTCATCACATCACCCGTTATCTTATCCCTCCATATTGGTGCACATATTATTCATGTCACCAGTTTATTGACCTCATTGTTAACTGCTATCCATTTTTTTCTTTTGTATATTCAAATAAAATTAACTCTTTCTCATAGCTTTCTTAATCAAGGGAATTTTTATTCTAAGTTATTGAAAGCCTATTAAATCTAATCACTTCAACCTATTTTGGCAGCTTATTCTACTAGTAGACAGGATTTAGATTAAGTTTAGAAAACTTGGGCAAAAATCAAATGAAATACCTTCCTGTTTTTTATTGCTTCAGTGTCCTGGAACAAAATGGCCCCTGCATGCTTGATATAATTAATTAGACAATTATTTAGGCATAGGCAGCTTGGATCAGGTTCCTGGAAGCAGGCAGGGCCCCACTACTTCAGAGCTGGGTTACTCTCAGCTGGTTACATAACCAGTCTGAGCTTCAGTGTCTTTCTTTGTCAAATATAGTTGTTGGGAGCAGGAAGTAAGATGGCACCTAATGTAGCACCTTATTAATCTTCTTCTCTAGTGCTCCTGCCCTTGCCTTTTCAACAAGTATTTCAGGTAGAGTTAATGAGAACCAGATGATAAAACCATGAACACCATCCTTGGTGTTCTATTTTTAAAGAGAAAAAGTGACAGAGAGAGAGAGAGAGAGAGAGAGAGAGAGAGAGAGAGAGAGAG